GATCATGTTGCAGAAGAGGTTCAGTCAGCTGGGAGGTCTGCAGCTGGACAGAGACATCAGGGCATTGGTCAGTTATTTCTCTGGCATGACGCAGAGGACCGTTAGGGACAAATTTGCGCGGCTTACCCAGATGGCGACGATACTGAACCTCGAGAAAGTGTCGGAGATTCTTGATTTCTGGGGTGAAAACTCAGGACCCATGACTTGGAGACTAACCCCAGCTGAGGTCAGAAGAGTGTTAGGGCTCAGGGTTGACTTTAAACCTGAAGCAATTGCAGCTCTTAAGTTATAATTATATACCTCATTTCCTGTATGATTTCTCTTCACTGAATTACTTGGTTCTTTTCTCCCCCAAATGTGAACTCCATTTTACAACAAAGGGAATACTTTTTTTATTATCATGAATTCAATTCAGGATAGAGAGAGAGAGAGAGTGTGTGTAGGTATTTTATAAAACTTTTTCCAAAAATGTGAGATTTGTACTAAATAATGCTAAAACATATGTTTTTTCTAATATAGTACCTAAAACTTTTTATTTCTTAAATAGTACTTGAATCATGCCTAACGACGGGAACAATGTCTAGCGGCGGTGAACATTTACTTTAAACAATGTCTAATAACGGTGGACATTTACTTGAACAATGTCTATTGGACATTGAATAGTGGTACTACATTAAGAAATTAAAATATATGATATTACATCGGAAAATTTATTACGGAGTATGTTTTAGTATTATCATACAGGTAAATTTCCCTACATTTCTTTAAAAATTCATCAACTTTGAAAAATGAAGGGATGTTTAAAGTATTGTTGTAATGGAATAATCCAATTTGTAACACCTGATGACCCTGAACCTTAAGACATGGAGGTCCCATGGTGCATGCTTTTTGCGGATGATATTGTGCTTATCGACGACACGCGTGAGGGACTAAACGATAAGTTGGAACTATGGCGCCTTGCCCTTGAGACCAAAGGATTCATAATAAGTAGGAACAAGACTGAATACATGGAGTGTCGTTTCAGCGGTCGGGAAACGGAATCACAAGTGGAAGTTAGGATTGACTTTCACCTAGTGCCTAAGGTTGACAAGTTTCGATATCTTGGCTCGGGAATTCAGGCTGATGGGGAGTTAGACGGGGATGTTGGACATCGTGTTGGCTCGGTAATTCAGGGGTGTTGTGTGATCCGAAGATTTCGCCCAAGCTAAAAGGTAAGTTCTACCGGTCCGTAGGCAGACCTGCTATGTTATATGGGGCAGAGTGTTGGGCGGTTAAGAAGACTCATGTGCGTCGTCTACATGCGGCGGAGATGCAGATGTTACAATGGATGTGTGTGAAGACAAGATTGGATAGGATTTCAAACGAAGTTATCCGATGTCAGTTAGGCATGGCGCCGATGGAAGATGAGCTGCGGGAAGCGAGGTTGAGATGGTTTGGTCATGTGTGGCGGCGGAATGCTGACGCCCCTGTACGGAGATGTGAGAGTATTACGGTTGTCGGGGGAAGTAGGGAAAAGGGTAGATCTAGGAAGAATTGGAAGGAGGTGATTAGGCAGGATTTAGGACTTCTCACTTCAATAAAAACATACAAATGTTAGTGTGATGGGCGAGGGAAAAAGAATGGCACCCGGTGGTGGCTGACATCTCTAATGGTTAAGATGAAGATGTAGTTTAAGTGAAGGGTAAATATAACTTTTTACCTCAAATAAAAAAATCAGTGATGAAATACAGTGGATATAATGTTTAAAGGTGTGTAAGATGTGAATATATCCACCCTTCTATAAATAATCCTCTCTAATTAAAGATATTCACCTCTAATTCACTATTTTATGAAATTTCATTAGAAACCCATATTTTGGGTTTTCAAAAATTCCTTAAATTTTGGGTCATTTCTTCTTTTATTTTGACTTTAAACGAAAAGACAACATTCACATTCAAAGTGGTCTTCAATGGTAATTTTATATAGTGACTAAAAATGGAATATCCCAATATATAGAGATATTTATGATGTGTTTAGAAATTTGAATTTGGATATTGATGGATACCCAATATTTTCCTAGGTATTGTGGATCGGCCCGGGTTCAAATACAGGCGTCCGGGCCTTATAATATTGAAAGAATAATACGAGAATAGTAAGTAATAGTAATGGAAACACTGCTCACGGACAAGAACTAAGACCGGTGGTCCTCTCCTTTATTCAGTCCTCTCAGGGACGGAATATGCTTAAGGACCGCCGGAATCTTTTATTATTACTCAAGTATTTTCTCTCTTTCTTACCCCCCCCCCCCCTTTAATCCCTCAATCCTTCTCCCTTTTATAGGCGCTCCCCAACTGCTATCTTCTACAGTAATAGCAGTGATTGAGGAGGACATCCGCGCCAGCCTTGCTCTTTCCAGGGGGAGTGTATCTCCACTTGAGGTCGTCCACTGGAGGACAAACCCTTCCGTCCATCTCTTGCTTCCTGTCCTTCGTCTGTCTCTTTCTCCTCGTCTTTGTCCCTTCAAGTGAAAGGGGGGACTCCCCAAACTTCTCATAGGATTCCTCTCTTTGTGGGGGCTTACCCTTAATGGGCTGGCTCCAGCCCATCTTTAAGCCCCACCTCTCTTCCTTTTCCTATCTTTCTCTACGGACAACCTTCCTGTGACCGGCCTGGTACATTTTACCTGGGCCGGATGCTCCTTTTGATGGACGGGATCCGAATTGGGCCTAGGCCCAATTCGCGAGTACTCTCTCGATGGGCTTTGTTCCCATCACATGCCCCTTTTTTACAAGTCAAAAAATAAAAATTTTTTGACTGTAGTCTTCCTCGCATGCTTCCTTGGGGGAATTTTTCCTCTGTCATCTTTTCATTTTCTGACGAAGATTCTCCTTTTGGGGAAGGCCCCAAAGTTTAACTTGTACTCACTCGAGATGATATTCCCCACAGTACGTCCTTGCGGGCCAGGATGTGTAATTGGTCGAGTGAACTGCTTGTGGCCACACACGGTTCTTTCCAATGGCTGCTTGGTCATGCGAACAGTCCCTGCACACCAATAATGGTGGTCCGTTTGTAGAGGAATAAATTGGGCGTGGATCGTGTGCATGGGAAAAGGCACGAAAGGACCGCTGCGAGTCTGTGACACTTAAATATCCATGGCCCATTTTTCCAAACCCTTTTTGACCAGTTCCTCTAATTCCCTTAATTGCTGCATAGGGCCGTTCTACTGCGCACAATTCAAGGTACCCACCCATCTATGATTGTGGGACCGTAACAGGAAAAAGGAAAGCAACAGAGGACCACAGAACTGGGAAATCGGCAGAGTGGACCGTTTCGAAACAGGTGCCATTCGAGATTCTTACCGTTGCAAAGAGATATTGAGGGTGGACCGTTTCTTCTCCCTCTTCTCTTTCTCTATAAATACGGTCCCTCTCCCCTCTCCTTCTTCACGCTCACACGCAACTCTTCACTTCTCCTGCCTTTATCCCTGCCGAATCATCCTCTCTTCTTCCCAAGACCTTTACTCTCTCTCACCATGAAGAAGACAATCTCCAAGGTTTCCAAGATCTTCAACGGCGGCAAGAAATCCAAGGAGGACGAGAATGTTTCCTCCATCACTCCTGCGCAATTGGGGGAGATGAGGGGAGTCATTCCTCCTGATTATGGCGTCCAGGAAGCCACGGGTACTACTTTGGAGTGCAATCCTGACATCTCCCGCCGATTGGTCGTCCACTACGACTCGGTTAGGATGGGATGTCGCTTCCCTCTCCATCCCCTCTTGATTGAACTTTGCAACCGCTACGCCATACCTCCCGGCCAGATCTCCTCGAACTCCCACGAGAGTCTCTTTGGCTTCTTGGCGCGGTGTCATAAGAGAAGCATTCAACCCACTCTGAAGCTCTTCCTCTCTTTCTTCCGCCCGCACAAGTACGATAGTGAGTCGGGCTGGGGGTACGTGAGTTTCACGGCTCGGACCGATATGCAGTTTTTGGACAGCCCCGTTGACAAACTTGATGACTGGTTCCGCCGCTTCTTCGTGGTGGTAGTCCCGGAGGACCTCCCCTTCCCCAATGTGTGGCGAAAGAAGGAAGATAAATTTCCTTCTCATACTTTTCCTACGCGTGATTCGGAGCTCGATAGGATCTACCGTCTCCTCCTTAAGAACGGCTATTCGGTTCCCCGAGCGCTTCTCTTCAAGGACTCGCACTTCCGGGGTCTCGGATATTGGGTGTCTCCTGATATTCTTTCTCAAGAGCCGTCGGGAAATACCACTTCTTCTTGGGTTCCTCCTTTCAGGAGGACTCGACTCCGCCGGCGATCCTCTCGAAGGGATCCCTCCCCGGAGGAGGACACCGATGGCGAAGAGGCTAGGTCCGTGACTGGGACCCAACCTATGCTACTTGCTGACCGCCCTCATCTTTCGGAAGAGGTGGTGGTCGAGGGCGCGTCCGACGATGATGGCCTCTATGACTTCCCTCCGGGGACCTTGAGGGGATCCGGTCTTATCCCTGGTGTTCCCCATATTCCTCTTTTTGGCAGGGGGACTTCTCCTTCTGCCCAGTTCATGGGCCCGCTGGGTTTCCATCCTCACCCCAGTGGGACCATGCCCATTGGGCGCACCACCGGTTCACAAGGGTCTCTTGAACCGCCACATGTCTAGGTGGCCGGGATTGGGATTCCGTGCAGCACTGAATCTCCATGGGAATATTCCCCCTCCTCCGGCTGCGGGGGGAATGAGGCAATTTCCCAGCCCCAACCGTCCACCGCCCTAAATTTTGCAGAGTCAGCGGCGGAGAGCATTTTTGGGACGCCCCTTGGTCAAGGCGGTGTTCCTCTCCCTGGAGCGAATATCCATCGATCTTTTAGGGAGACGGAGGAGTTAATTCGGTCCTCCAGTTTTGGGAAGGCTATTGTCCCCTCATCCGTCCGTCCCACTGTTGTTCCCGGTCCGTCAACTCAGGAGACCGGGTCTTCTTCTTCTTCTCAGGCCCATCACAAGAGGGGCCGGAATTCCACTCCTCTCCCAGGGTCTTTAGTGTCCGCCGGTCCTTCCATGGGGACCGCTGATCACTTCTTTGGGACCGCTGGCGATGGGTCCCCTACCGGGCAAGGGAGTCAGCCCTTTCCCTATGCCCGGGAGGCCTATCAGTACACAGGGTACACAGCTTGGGTTGGACGGGATTTCAACTGCAAGCTTCAAGAGATACAACAGCTTAAAAGGGACCATCCAGATGTGATTCACAGCCCAGTCTGGCCGTTTATGCAGGAGTATACTCGTATGGTAAGTGTTCCCCTCCTTTTCATTTTTAAGTCTTCCATTTATTCCTTCATGCTATTTAGGACTGCTAACCTCTACTTTCTTCCTCTTTTGATAGGCCGATTACGTCGCCACTTCCTCTGCTCAGCGCCATTCCCTTCGCCTATTGGACCGCAATGCTGCTTTATCAAAGGAGCTGAGGGATTTCAAATCTCGGCACTCTATTAGCGTCGAGCGCCTGGAATACGATCGGGTTTTGTCGGAGAATGATCAGCTCTATTCTGACCACGAGCGTCTTTCGGCCAAGGTTGGACAGCGTGAGGAATCTCTGAGGAGGGACTTGGAACGGCAAGCCAGAGAACGGGAGGTCCAATTTAGAGAGGAGGCCGAACTTCACCGGAAGAGATCCGAGGAGGAGCTGAAGCGAACGTGGCGTCGCCGATCCGAGGAAGAAGCAAGGAGGGCGGCGGAAGAGGTTGAGCAGAGGTGGCGCCTCCAGCACGAGGAAACCGAACGCCGACTTTCTCAACGGGTTGACGAGCTAAACCTAACCCTTATGGAGGAGAGGCGCTCAGCCCGGAGTTCGCTTGATGAGGCCCGCCGCTCTCTCGAGAATGAACGTCTTACACATGAGGGGCATATGGCTCGAATGGAGGCCGATCGCATCTCAGACTACGGTAGAGGTTTCTATCGTGGAGGATTGGAAGTCCAGCAGAAGTTTTATCATGGCCTGGAGCCCTATTCTGATGGGCAAGATCCTTGGCTGAAGTTCCCAGGCATCCCAGGACCCATGGGACCAGAGCCCTCTTTTCTCCACTCCCCTCCCCCATCTTGAATCGTTGCAATTTGTTTAGGAACGGTCCTCCTGTGTTCTTCTTGTATTAATTTCTGCTTATCGTTGTAAGGACTCCTCCGTTTGCATGTCTTTTTTTAAGAACCCCTGGACAGATTATGGACAGAAAACTCCCTTTCCTTTCTTTTTTGCAACGTACAGCCCCTTTCAACAAAAAAAGAAAGAAAACACCCTAAAATAGAATGCTTTTAATGGAATAGAAACTCGGACAGACCCGCTCCTACTAGTAGAATTTCTTTAAGTGCTCTACATTCCAGTAATTGTCCAATGTTTCTCCTTCAGAAGTAGCCAGTTGATAGGTGCCTACACGCACCACTCTCTCCACGCGATACGGTCCTTCCCAATTCTGGGCCAGTTTCCCTCCTTTAGTAGGCTGACTCTTCTCCCTTTTACATAGGGCCCAATCGCCCACTTCGAATGCCCGAAGTATGGTTTTCTTGTCGTGATATCTTTTGGATTGTCGCTGGTTCTCTTCCGCCCTTATCGCCGCATCATCCCTCCTTTCTTGCATGAAGTGGGAATCCACTTCCATTAACTGCTCGTTGAGGATCGGGGTGTATGCCTCCACCCTTGCACTAGGGACCAAGACCTCGGTTGGCACCTTTGCCTCAAAGCCATAGGCCAAGGCGAAAGGAGTCTCTCCTGTGACTCTCCTCGGAGTGGCCCTATGGGCCCACAGCACATAGGGCAGCTCTTCCACCCAGGACGTGCCCAATTCATGCAATCTCTTCTTGATACCGTCCACAATCGTTCTATTAGCATTTTCCACTTGTCCGTTGCATTGCGGGTAGGATACAGCGGCCCGACTGAGTTTAATCTTCCAAGCATCACAGAACTCCTTGAAACTTGTGTTGGCAAACTGGGTGCCGTTGTCCGTTATGATTTGCTCAGGTACACCAAATCTACACAGCAAACTTTTCCACACGAATTTACGGCAATTTTCCTTAGTGATCTTCACGAGGGCCTCCGCCTCGACCCACTTGGTAAAATAATCTATTGCCACAATCGCAAATTTCTTCCTTCCAGCCCCTTGGACGAAGGGACCCACCAAATCCAACCCCCATCTAGCAAAGGGGATGGCCGTGGTGACTGGGGTGTAAAAGGTGGACGGGCGTCCAGGGATTGGTGCAAATACTTGGCAAGTTGGGCACTTCCTTACCAATTCCAGTGTATCCTTCTTCAAAGTGGGCCAATAGAACCCCTGGAGTACCACCTTTCTGGCTAGAGTGAGGGCACCTTGATGGGCAGAGCAGACTCCTTGGTGTACTTCTTCCAATATTCTTCTTGCTTCTTTCTCACTCAAACATTTGAGCATCGGTCCACCCAAGGTCCTTTTATACAATTTCCCTCCATCCAATTGATATTTAGGAGCCATTAATTGAACTCTGAGGGCCTCCTTGGGGTCAACAGGGAGCTTCCCCTTTTCAAGGTATGTGATCAGGGGGCTCATCCAAGTTGTACCTGGACCAGATATCTCAAGGACAGGGACCGCCTCTTCCCAAACAGGACAAGTCTTCTCATGTTGTCTTACCATACCTTCCATGTGGACGGGAATGGTTCTACATAATTTGGCAAGCATATCCGCTTCCTCATTCTCCTCCCTTGGAACATATATGAGTTCATAATACTCAAATTGTCCAAGTAGAGTCCTGGCGCAATCCTTGTATCTTTTCAACCTTCCTTCCTTGGCCTCCATCTCTCCTTTTAGCTGTCCGATGGCCAATTTTGAATCGGATTTAAGGCGAATGCGATTTATCTTCATGAATAGGGCAATCTGGATTCCTCCAATGAGGGCTTCATACTCCGCTTCATTGTTGGTGGCCCGAAATGTGAACTTGAAGAAATGATAAGCCTTGAAGCCTTCGGGGGAGGTGAGGACCGCTCCTCCTCCTAAACCGTCTTTAGTGCAAGATCCGTCTGAATGAATCTCCCATATCTCCTTTTTTCTTTCCTGACCGGTCCCATCCTCTTCTGGCTTTCCTCTTGCTGTGCATTCTACCATAAAATCGGCAATTATCTGGCCCTTCTTGCTAGAACGGGGCTGGTAAGAAATATCATACTGAGAGAGGACCATAGCCCACTTGATGACCCTTCCTGAAGAAGATGGGTCCCTTAAAACTGCTCCCAAAGGCTGGTCTGTCATGATTCTCACTGGGTGAGCTTGGAAATAGGGAGTTAACCTCTTGACAGTTACCACCACCGCCAAAACACATTTTTCCAAGGGAGTGTACCTTGTTTCCGGTCCTCTTAAGGCCCTGCTTGTGTAATAAACTGGCTTTTGGATTCCTTCTTCTTCCCTCAAGAGGACCGAACTCACTGCCAGATGGGCCACCCCCAAGTATAAGAAAAGAACATCCCCTGTTAATGGCTTGGAGAGGACTGGTGGAGAGCTCAAATATGCCTTCAAGTGTTCAAAGGCTTCTTGGCACTCTGCGATCCACTGGAAGTTTCCCCCTCCCTTTAAAATTGTGAAAAAGGGCAGGGACCGCTCCGCGGACTGCGCCAAAAACCTTCCTAAGGCCGCTATCCTCCCTGCTAACCTCTGGACTTCCCTCAAATTTGTTGGTGGTTCCATGTCTTGGATGGCCTTCAACTTGTCCGGATTGACCTCAATCCCTTTCTTGCTCACCATGTAACCAAGGAATTTTCCTCCCTGGACCCCAAAGGCACATTTTTTGGGGTTCAATCTCAAATTATGCTTCCCCATGATGCTAAAGCATTTCTCCAAGTGCTGAGGATGGTCCGCTGCCTGCTTACTTTTGATCAGTAAGTCATCCACATAAGCCTCCATGATCTGTCCCGGGACCTCCTTGAATAATAAAGAGATCATTCTCGTAAATGTGGCCCCCACATTACGCAGCCCAAAAGGCATGACCACGTAACAATATACTCCTTCAGGGGTGATAAAGGCTGTGGATTCCGCATCATCTTTGTGCATGAAAATTTGATGGTATCCTCGGAAGGCGTCCATAAAACTCAATAGTTCATGGCCCGCCGCTTCATCTACCAGTTGGTCTACTCTTGGTAGGGGAAAGGGGTCCATAGGACATGCCTTATTGAGGTCAGTGAAGTCCACACACATGCGAAAGGTGTCCCCTTTTGGTGCCAGCACCACATTAGCGAGCCATTTAGGATATTGGACCTCCCTGATGTGGCCGGCCTCCAAAAGGGTCTTCACCTCTTTCCTCACAAATTCTTTTCTGTCCGTGGACAGATACCTTTTCTTCTGCTTGACCGGGAGGGAGTCTACCTTGATGTTCAACTTATGGCAAATGACCGAGGGATCGACTCCGGGCATATNTGGTCTACTCTTGGTAGGGGAAAGGGGTCCATAGGACATGCCTTATTGAGGTCAGTGAAGTCCACACACATGCGAAAGGTGTCCCCTTTTGGTGCCAGCACCACATTAGCGAGCCATTTAGGATATTGGACCTCCCTGATGTGGCCGGCCTCCAAAAGGGTCTTCACCTCTTTCCTCACAAATTCTTTTCTGTCCGTGGACAGATACCTTTTCTTCTGCTTGACCGGGAGGGAGTCTACCTTGATGTTCAACTTATGGCAAATGACCGAGGGATCGACTCCGGGCATATCCTTGGATTCCCATGCGAAGAGGACCGAGTTTTCTCTTAGTACTCGGATAATCTCTCCACGGGTATCCTCCTATAGCCCTAAACCGATCCTCACAACCTTTTCTTGATCCCCCTCAGGGAATAGCACCACTTCTTCCATTTCCACAGCTGGCTTAGGCCTCTCCCGGTCCTCCTCTCTCCTTTCCTTATCTTCCAAAGCTTGCCCAATGGTTTGGACGTTGAGATTCTCCTTGTCTATCCTCTTGCAGGCACTTAGATAGGCCTTCTTGGCTGCGGGTTGATCACCAAGGACCCTCCCAACACCTTCGGGAGTCCTAAACTTGAGGCACATGTGCTCAAGGGATAGTGCACCTCCCAAGTCCTCTAGCCCAGGCCTCCCTAGGATGGCATTGTGAGTGCATTTGATATCAACCACTACAAAATCCATCCTCATTTGCCTCACCATAGGATGCTCGCCTATGATGATGTCCAATTTAATGGATCCTTCCGATTCAATTATGTCTCCAGTGAAACCGGACAAGGGCATGTTAAGTTTTGTGAGATCTTCCTTCCTGATTCCCAATCGCTGGGCCGCCTCCCAGTACAACACATTGACACTGCTTCCCGTGTCCACCAATATTCTTTTGACAAAAAATTTATGAATAGCCATAGAAATTACCAGGGGAGTCCGATGAGGACTAGGGATGAGGGGTAAATCCTTGTCTGAGAAGACAATGGGCTCCCTCCTTCCTCTCTTGGCCGCCTGACCTATGTCAATGGACCCCACATATAGCTTGCGAGCCCATTCCTTCCTTTCTTTGCTTGTGACTCCCGTTTCTGGACCGCCAAAGATGACTCCTACTTGGGGAAATTCCTCCGGGTTCTCCTGGACTTGTTGTTGAGGTTGGGCGTCCCTACGCCAAACATTACCTCCTTGGTTCGGCTCCCGATTAGCATTTGGCTCCTTGTCCTTCATCTCTCCTTCCATCTTTTTGAGGAAATGGCATTCCTCCGTGGCATGTCCGGGCCTTCTATGGAAGTTGCAATATTTTTCTGGGTCATAGGGCCACTGCCTTCTTTTTTGGTCTCCACGTTTCCTCTTCTGTCCACCTTCCTCCTTGCTCTTAATTTCTGCCACCGGTGCGGCTAGTGACTTGAGGGTAGGGATGGAAAGAGTGGTTGCCTTGGCCTTTTCTCCTTTCTTTTCTTTGTCGGGACCTTTATGCAAGGCTCCCTCACTCTTTCCTTTCAGGCGATCCGACTCTTCCGTGGCGCAGAACTTGTTAACCCTAGCCATCATAGCCTTGTAAGAAGTAGGGGTATCGTAATCTAACTTCCTGAACAATTCTCCCGACCTGAGAACATTCATGAATAGAGCAATGGAAGTCTTATCGTCCATAGGCTCCACCTCATTGATTGCTTCATTCCATCTTTGTACCAATTCACTGTTAGTCTCCCCCTCCCTTTGCTTTAGGGAGAAAAGATGGGTGAAGTGCTTCTTTGGCTGGAACCTTCCTCCATAGGCGTTGAGGAAAAGTTGAGCAAGATCTTTGAAGCAATAAATGGTCCCGTTAGGAAGGGTGAGGAACCATTTTACGGCCGGCCCCTCCAAGGTTCCTACGAAGAGACGACATTGGATCTCGTCCTCCACGGCGTGCATCAACATGTGAGTTTGGTACGCGGCCAAGTGATCATTGGGATCGGTGACTCCTTTATAACGGATTTCAGGGGCTTTCATACCCCTGGGCAGTTGAGCTTTCATCACTCTGGCAGTAAAGGGAGAAATTATCTCCACTGTGGGTCCAAAAGACCCGTCCTTGTCAACCTGCCTCTTTAGTTCCTCCATTTCTTTTCTCAATTTGAGAATGTCTCCGGCATCTTCACTGTCGTGTCCCCCAGAATTTTCTCCAGATTCCTCAGTTCTGGGTCCCAACCTTTGGGACGCATTTCTGCGCATCCTCTTGTGTACTGATACGCGCCCTTGACTCTCCGCCTCCTCATCCTCTTCTTGGCCCGTTTCTCTCCCGGTCCTTTGGGACCGGGCCTCTTCTTCCTTGTTGAGCCATCCGATTAACTTTCGTACTATGGGGGAGTTCTCGTCGAATTTTCCTGTTGCTGCTTGAGAATCCTTTGGATGAGAACTCTTAGGGGCTTTGGAGTGGAAACTCTGTTCACAAGATTTGTCTTGTGTTTCACGCCTGGATTGGGAGAGAGTTATTTGGTGTCTGAGATCCTGAGATGAAAGCTTCTCTTTCCCTTCCAAGTTGGTTCGCGCCTTAGCAGCCATTTTGTTCCTCCTGGACCGGTTTTTGCCCATGGTGACAGTTGGAATCCTTCTTTTTTTAAAAAAAAGGTGGGCCAACGTGAGATAACGGCCCCTGAGCAAGAAATCGGTCCTCCTGTGTGATTGACCTGTGAATGCGGTCCTCTGTAGAGGGTCGATCCTCCTTTCCCTCTCTCTTTTTTTTTTAATAATGGACCGACTAATATGAGGAGCCCTTCTGGATGGACCGCGAACTTATCTCCTTCACTTGGAGTGGACCGCTGTTTCTTCATAGGTCTAGGAAGAGGTCTTTCTAGGTGAACAAGAATGAGATAGGCTCGCTATCAACTCCCCAGACGGCTAGGAAGCTTCAATCGGTCCCACGGGTGGCGCCAGTGATGGATACCCAATATTTTCCTAGGTATTGTGGATCGGCCCGGGTTCAAATACAGGCGTTCGGGCCTTATAATATTGAAAGAATAATACGAGAATAGTAAGTAATAGTAATGGAAACACTGCTGACGGACAAGAACTAAGACCGGTGGTCCTCTCCTTTATTCAGTCCTCTCAGGGACGGAATATGCTTAAGGACCGCCGGAATCTTTTATTATTACTCAAGTATTTTCTCTCTTTCTTACCCCCCCCCCCCCCCTTTAATCCCTCAATCCTTCTCCCTTTTATAGGCGCTCCCCAACTGCTATCTTCTACAGTAATAGCAGTGATTGGGGAGGACATCCGCGCCAGCCTTGCTCTTTCCAGGGGGAGTGTATCTCCACTTGAGGTCGTCCACTGGAGGACAAACCCTTCCGTCCATCTCTTGCTTCCTGTCCTTTGTCCGTCTCTTTCTCCTCGTCTTTGTCCCTTCAAGTGAAAGGGGGGACTCCCCAAACTTCTCATTGGATTCCTCTCTTTGTGGGGGCTTACCCTTAATGGGCTGGCTCCAGCCCATCTTTAAGCCCCACCTCTCTTCCTTTTCCTATCTTTCTCTACGGACAACCTTCCTGTGACCGGCCTGGTACATTTTACCTGGGCCGGATGCTCCTTTTGATGGACGGGATCCGAATTGGGCCTAGGCCCAATTCGCGAGTACTCTCTCAATGGGCTTGGTTCCCATCAGATATCAAATCTAAATTTGATCCAAATTACTTATTCAAAAACTAAGAGAGAGAGATTAAGATTTAGACCAAATTCTTCTAATTCAAAACAAACTCATTTATAAACCCACACCTCTTTCATTTACAAAACCAAGCCTAATTTTTCTTTAATTTATAACTTGTAATTAAAAATTAATCTCCCCATCATGCAACAACAATTCCATACATATCAACTCACTCCCGCCACTGTCTTTGTTGACTTAAAAATTAAAATTCAAGAACTAGAATTCTATGATTTCTCAAACAACATTTCGAATTTGAAATCATGGGATTTTAAATGTTGAAATTGAAATCTAAAGTTTTGAAATGAGTTCTAGTTCCTAAACACTACCTTATAGAATTTACATTGATATTTTTATAAGTAAATTGCATTGCATCTTCATTGACATAATTGCCCCCCATGGTAATTGCTCATCTACTGCTTTACTGCTCCACAACATAACCTTCTAAAGTCCATTACAGAGCTACTAGAGAAATATTCATTCTTATTGCTCTTCTGTAATATTATGTACAAGGCATTGGTATAATATTGTGTAAACTAAAATCCTGCTGAATTACACCCATAACACAAAATGAACTGTCAGACATTGATGAGTTGTTACCCAGCACCAACCAAACCAAATCATAATTAAGAAATCACCGAAAATAAAAGTAAAACATAACTTTATCCCCAAATAGGAGCGACATGTTTTTATCCACAAAATAGAACTTTGTACTGTGGTAAGCCCGGGGATAAAAACATGAAGTTTCTATTTTGGTTTTTTTCTGTGTTTTACTACTATTTTTAGTCTTTCTCCCATCGTAATTCTAGCCGCAGCCTAGAAAAGCCAATGCTTCTTTCGCGGGTGTCTTGTAGGGATCGCTGTTGCACATCAAGTATGGCATGAATCAGACCGCCGCCGGAAACAGCACTTGATATAAATTTTTATAAAAAAAACAAAAAAAAAATGATCATAGAATGGTTTTGTTACCTCCGTCTACTTCATATAGAGAGTTGTAATGCACTTCGCTCCAGAAGCTCAGCCACAACTCTACATTCGAAAAGGAGAATATGAATCAGGAAGTTTAGAGCAGTATATATAGCTCAGTATATAGTATATATAATCAAAACCACTGCATGAAATTACTATAGCTCATATGCTTTGGTAATTTCAACCAATAAGGGCCCGTTCAGTGAGTCTTGGAGGGTCGATATGAAAGAAACGATATAGGGTTTGAGATCTGAAACAAGTGTTTCGAGAGATCTAAAAGTAAGCAATTTTTATTTATATCGCGATCTGCTTGAACTTATTGTTGTGAAGGCACTGTGTGACCTTTGTTGTTATTGGATTTGAGTAAGATTGTCGGAATTTACTGAACGCTTTAATATAAATTTAAGGGCCTTTTGATATTACTATTAACCTATTATATTCATTATGGAATTATAAATTGTGGCTTGCGTCTCATTGTGCAATGAGGCTTGCACGATATGCAATCCAGCCAAGCCGACTCAACTACTTGGTAGATACACAACTTCAAACATCTCTAAAACCTAAAACTCTATTACTTCAATTTAACTAGTACAATGTCTCTCCAGTTTCGATCAAAGTCACTCACAATTAATCATACATCTTTCTAAACAAAACAATAATTATGGTCAGTAAAAATAAAATACTCCCTCCGTCCCTAGATAGATTACAATTTTTTCTCTCTCCTCTCGATAACTTTTGTTTGTTTACGCGATTTCATTAAATATTTGATAAAATAAAATATTCTTGTCATCTCTTGTTTTGTAGAACTTTTGACCTAGTTTTTAATATGTACTCGTAATTTTTATATCTTATTGATATACCAATTTGTAAATAAAATGATTTCAAAAAGTAGGAAATTTTACTACGTAACCCGCAATTTGTAATCTATTTAGGGACGGAGGGAGTAGATCTTTTTAATTTTAGGGATAAAAAGGACAAATGCACTTTCACATACATACCTTTTGAAGGTTGGCGGTTATTATTAGGAATAATCTCGATGTAGCAAGTGTCTCGAAAGGAAGTGACTAAACATATTTTAGCCTCAAACTGCAACAAGAATTAAGAACAATAAGAGGATTACCTTTCTATGAGAAGCATGGAGGAAGGAGGAGATTAAACACTAATATAGTAATATGGAATGACAATATAGAAGCCATAAGGAGAATTGAAGTCTGGCTTAAAATTTGGATGTTATGCCTATATTTATAGACTACAACAGTACCACACTAGGGACGAGGGGATGACAACAAGTCGGGTTTGGATCAAACTCATATAGATCCAAATAAGAATCGGAATGTAAAATCAAATCCAAATCCAGATCCAATTATGTTGGATTGGATTGGATTTGAATTTGGGGCAATCCGGTTACGATTTTTATGCACTTAGTCAGTTACCTTTTTACAGAAATTTTTTCAAGATTACTCCGTTTACAATTTTTATCGACTTAATAACTTCATACAAAACAATGGAAAATGGTTGATTCTAGAACCGCAAGTAAGCCACAAGCTCATTACTAAACATTCATCTACACAATAAGGGATTGTTTGGTTCATTGCTTTAGGGCATTATTTCTCAACAGTGCTCCATTTTTGATTTTTTACAGCTCTATTTTGGAAGTGTTAGAGTGACTATAATGTCACAGAAACAGTACCCCTCTTCCAACAACCTTTTCATTCGAAATACCAATTATTCTCTTTCTCAAAATTCTCCCCAACCTTTTTTTAATATCCTTATAGGTCACATTATACAAGTAAAACCCTAAAATTTCTCAACAATTGTTCTAACAAGTTCAAACAAGCAGGGCCTAATTCTAACAACTAAACTGCAAATATAGAACCACATACATAGCCCTCACTACAAATATGTTGAAATTGAAAGCTACAGATTATAACTTCCTTATAAGGCCCACCACTGATGGGCCTTGACGGATTGGACTTTAATCGGATTGGATCGTACTAGATCCACATTTTGATCCGATCTAATTTGGGATCCAATTTTTTAATCGGACTCGGATCGGATTATATTTTTTGGTTTCAAATCGTATAAATTTGCATCGGACCAGACCTGCTTTGGACTCCGGACATACTGCCATTCCTGCACTCAGGGATATAAGTGGTGCTATTGACACCGATACCAATACTGACGCACTTGAAAATACCATAGAAACAGGTTCATCAATTTCACACACACGCTTCTAGGAAAGTAGAGTGCAATGAGAGGCCTGTATACCAAAAACTTAAGGGTCTGTATGTTTCCTGGAAAATGTTTACTAAGGAAAACTATTTCTATGATTCCTTCAGCTTTTGTGAAAATGGCTTTCCTCTATTGAGCCGTTTAATTTTTTCAGGTTTTATACATTAAACACTATCCTGTATATACAACTACTTTTATAAAAATGTTTTCCTGGGAAATAACTCCCCAATAAACTCTTTTCCATAAAAAATATTTTCTCCACTGAAGAGCCTTAGAATGAAAAATGAAAACAGAAAAACTTACACGGTCTGCTGCTGCTTGAAGAGTAACATGGTCTCCCCATTCCCCTGATCTAAAATGATATCAGTGAGCAGTGAGACACAGCCGTTTTAAAGAACAATAATACTTGAAAACATTATCTGACCTCTTCATCTTCTTCAAGTAGCTTTTGTACGCCATTGGAATGTAGCCTTCATATAGTGTTCTGTAACGTTTTAGCTGAAAACAATTTAGAAGCTAAGGCCCCAGATTTCAGAATAACAGCTAAAACAGTTATGCTCAATATCAAAATGTGAATGTGTATGCTTGGAGAGGGTTCAGGGATAATGGAAGGAGCTAATATGATGCATGTTTTGCTGATGCTTAGTAATTAAACACCACATGACATTACACATAGGCTTTAAAAAGATTTGAAGTGCTCCCTCCGTCCCATAAAATCCTTTACACTTTCCTTTATTGGACGTCCCAAAAAAAACTTCACACGTACTTTATTTCCTATTTTAGTAATGAATGTGGCTCACATTACTTCTCTCTCATTTAAACAAATTCTAATCATACACTTCTTACTTTTTAACACTTTTCTTAAACTCCGTGAAAGTCAAACCGTAAAGAATTTTATGGGACTGGAGGAAGTATATGACTTTTACAGTTTACCTTGTTTAGTACCTACTACTCCATATTATTTAAGTCTAAGAAATTCATGAGTTGTAAGCAAACAAAATTAAGTACTTCAAACTTATATCCATGATTCCTGAAAATTCTATCCTTATGCTTTGGTTATTCTTCATGAAGACCAAAGCTCTAGATGCATGCCTGTAGTCCCCTACTCATGGTAGTTCTGCTGCTCATAGTAGTCAAATCGTTAGTCGGCACATAGAAACGTCCGATTCTATGTTTTGTAGAGCTATTTCAATTCAGATCGCAAGGGAAATCCTAAATTTTGCGAGATTGTTTTGGCTACTGTTCAGGATAGTTATAATGCTTGAGTTGTATGAGCTCTTGCCTTGACTGAATAAAAACAAGTCGGAAAGACAGAAAGCAACATACTCACCACTCCAATTCTTTTTTAAAAAATTTTAAACACTTTCAATTGTAACGCTTATAGGAGTATAGTTAAATGTATGCGGCTGCTACTCATTCACGCTTAAGCCTTGGATTCTGTGAAGTCTTCAAAAAAATTACTCCCTTCTCCTTTTGTCCAGTTCTGCAAAATTTTCCACTGCGTCCGCGACCTACACAATCTTACAATCTCTGGTTCTCTCTTCATCAAATTAATAATCTGTATTTCTTCTCATCCACTGTGGAGCCAGAGATTCACTATTTTTTGGCTTTGGGATATGATGGAATAAAGCAATTTGGCTCTCTAAATTGTCTGCACTTCTAGCAACTGTGAAGTAGCATTTGGTCAATGCAACATTCGACGCTCATCATGGGTCATCTCGAAACAGCCGCTCTATGTTTAAAACATAGGGGTCAGCCTGCGTACATCCGACCCCCCATACCAGTTACCATGCAATAGGCGGGAGCCGTTGAGGCACTGGGGTAATGTTGTTGTTGTTGTTGTCTTCTCATCCACTGAGGTATATATGTAAATATTCTCTCCTATTATTCACTTCTCATATTTGGTGTCACATAAATTTTCTGATTTTTTAAATATTCTCTCCTATTGTTCTGAATTTGTTTTGTCTCCCAGCTTTGCATTTACACCTTGTAGATAATCAAGTCTTCAAATCCGACTTGACCACTTGAGCCGCCACTCTTACCAAACCACTAGCAAAAAATGCTCGTGGCAAGAAAACTGGTGTGGCTTGGAAAGATTGCAAGCTCGTTGATGGAAATAACAATTATAGCAAAATAATAACAGGAGGGGTTTTTTGAATTAAGCATCACTTTTTTTGAACTAAGCATCACTTGGCTGGAAGCCTAGAGCACACAAAAAATGTATGTGCTTGCAACTTTCCAAGAGTGTTACCAATAATGAAATGTGGGACATTGTTGTAAGCTTGTCACCGGTAAAGTGAAAAGCAAAATGAGGAAGAGGACGATGGTTTTATAAATGTTGGTGATAACACAAAACTTTAGCCCGTGAACATAACATTTAGGTTGAGGCATCGACATGGGAAACCTCAAGGGCATTGAAGCCGAGGTTCAGGATCTCCCACAGCTCTATGTAAACATTTCAATACTTACGGATTCATGGTCTCATGGAAAAATAATAATGAATTATCCTCAAAGATTTGGGCCAAGAACTAAAATCAATTGACAAACTCAGAATATAGGTGAAATTTTTGACACCCAAACAAAAACCCCACCCAAATTGCATCAGCCACATTACCACCATCTACCAGTACCCTCAACGTTAACGTGCTGACCAATAAGGAAGGCACTATTCCATCGCTCCCTCTTCCCACTAGATACTCAGAGGAAAATGGATTAAGGCATTTGCAGGTAAGGTATTAGGAGGTCCAAAGTTGTTGGACTGCTAAAAGTCTATCAACTCAACATTCTAGAAGCATCCAGATTTTACAGTAAATTAAATATGTTTCATTATTCAATCAGGAAACAGAGTGATGGAGCCTGACAGGCAACACGAAATATGGAAATCGATTTCCCAAGAAATTGCGAGAATTGATTTCCCAAGAGAAACTAACAATATAGAAATGCCAATCACGTGATACAAACAACTAAGAAGGTATATGGAACCTTGCATGAAATTTACACTCAATAGTTGGTGAAATATAGCTGAATGCCTGAAAAGTAAGAAAATTTATTGTAATCACACCTGCTTGACAACTTGCCTCCGTACATACTTATGATGACCTGGATTTTGAAAAATCTGATCGGCAAGGGCTCGAAACTGTCCAATGAGGTATTTTTTAGACAGTGGTAAGAACATGTAAAATAATCATTCATGGTGATACTACATAACTATACGACAGAAAATGGCACATGTGTCTACCTAACGAAATAAGTCTGAAAGTCAAGTTAAAGGAGACTAACTTGGCAATTCCCATCTCCTTCCATGTGAACTTCAGTGAGACGATATTGTGCCAACCTGAGAGATCACTAAGGATGTGGGAAGTGTTTTAAAAAAATTGCAAGAAACATTATTGCTTAGGAGTACTATAAATAGAATAAAGAATAATAAAAGTATCAAGATGTCTTCAAATGAAAATGACAATTATTTCCTATGAAGAATGGCTCTAGTTATTCATTATGAAGAGGCATACAACATTATTACAAAAATGCTAAGAGACGTGATCACAGCTTATGGAAAATAGTTTGACGGGACTACTACTTGTGAAAGTTGACAACTCCAAGAGGATGCTCATTCTTTAACTCTCGATTAAGTACAGGGGTTTCTTAGCTCAATCAACTCATAGAGGAATTTAACATGTCCTAAGAAGCTCAGAGAAAAATAAAGATCGGCTCTTCTCACCATAATAACATCTGATATTTCAATTTGTCTTATCGAACAAGTTATGTTCGAACAAGCCTAAATATATTAAAAGTGAAATTAGCAAGAATGATTAACACACTATACCCCATGTATCAATTTGGTTACCATCTATTCAATCTAGCACTGTTAAAACAAAGGACATAACCGGTTACCTTTCAGAAAGCCTTGCGTGGTCCAATGTGGCATCATTAGTATCGGGTATGGCTTCAATTACCCTTGGGACGTGCTGCCAGTAGCGCAGTATAGTTAATACAATATAGCCTTAGAATGATTTGAAACATGATAGTGCACGCTAGAGCTTTAAAATTTCAATGGTACTTGTCTGTACTTCTAATGCATCAAAAGAAATGGATTCCTTTATACCACAGCTAAAAGTTAACCTTGTTTTTTACTGGTCGAGCTAATGGAAAATTTGAAACGCCATCATGAATTCACTCGAACATACCGGAATCGAGCCTAAATGTGAAAGCCTCTTTCCAAGCGTGCTCGTGTGCTTCAAAGCATTTTCTTCCTCCTCTCCTAATATCTTAGCAATAGTATGATCATCCTGCGTACCCAATGAACTACCACTAAAACTAGCACTCGTCGAGCTCGCCCCTGAATTCCCATGCTGTTCATTCATTATAGGATCTGAGTACGAACCAATCCAAGTGACCCAAACAAGCAACAGTATCTACACGATTAAAACAGACCCAGTGCAAAAATCAGCAAATTGAACAAGAAAACGTGCCAAACTTCAGGTGCAGATCAACTGTTCGTTAGAAATCTTGGATGAATATCAAGAACCCTTTGCTCGGGGACGAAGATGAGGGTAAAACAGAATTCTTTCTGGATTTGGTTTCGAGAGAATAAGGTAAGAAAAACACTAAAACACGCACATATACATAAAAACAAAAATACATATCCATACCAAGAGAGAAATGAAGCTGGGAGGAGTATGGTTCCTAATGGAGGAGCTTTGGATTGAAAAAACGCCTCTGCAAACTGTAGCTTCCACGGCAGAATCAGATGAAGGGGGTTTTGGTAAACAAACAACAACGACGCCTTATATCATCAATCTACAGAAAGCGTGTGAAGGAGATTTCTACGAGAGATGGTTCTTGCGTTTACTAGCGAGGAGCAAAACTGGGACGGAAAAATCCGAGATCGACCATCCAGATGGAGACGGAAATGGAAAAGATTGGTTAACCATACTCCATTCCAATATTATTGTCTTCCATTTTAAGAAAAAATGTAAAACTAAATAAAAATAGTAAAATTGAAGTGGATAATTGGATATACTTTAATTTTTTTTATATAGACTTGTGATGTTAGTGGAAATAAAAAAAAATAAAAAAACTGTTGATTGGTCAACCGTCGATGAACCATTAGTCAACTGTCGGTCAATGCAGACGATTGGTTGCGGCTCTCCGATGATCTCATGGTGGCGGATAGCTGCACTCTGCAACCTCGAAGCGGTGAACGGTGGTGGCGGCAGATAGGTGGTGTGGCGCGTGTTGGCACATACGCCAGTGTAGCAACAATTAAAAATGATAATATGGATGGACTCTTATTTAAGTCTAACAAGATTAGCACTTTTATTTTAACATTTCATACTCATTTACTTCCATTTAAACTGTGTTTGTTCAACATATATTTTTTATTTAGTACTTATTCCTATTCTAATTAATTCAAGTCAGATTCATTCAAGTCCATTAGATCCAATCAAATAAAATATATTCAGATCATATTATAAAAATGTCTAAGTTAATGTTAACATTTTGTTTATAATTAAGTAATAATTACTCCTTTCGTACCCCACTGACCTTTCCATTACGCATTACGAGGCTTGATCGATTATTTTCAATTTAGTCTATTTGATTATAAATGTAAAATTTTTAAAAATAAATTTATTCAATAAAAGTTGGTGCATGGTTCGATGCAAAATTTATGTCAAATCCAAATAAATGAATTGGTAATGCATTGCTATGTAACCACGTGCATAGTAAAGTTGATGTGTGACTCCATGCATACATTATGTCAAATCAAATTAAATAAATAGATTCACTAATTCAAGACATTTAATGAGTAGGTTGATTGTCAAATTATATACTACGGAGTACTAATACTCTAAACATTTCATACATCTCATCCCAATTCGGCCACTTTAAAAAATGTCTCAAAACATTCAAAGAGAATGAAATGTGTTTGCCGATACAAGTCGTTCATGTATATTTTATTCCGGCTTGTGCAAGAAGGAGAAGTTCAATGAGAGTGATCTTTCATAATGAACATGTATAGTATTCACAATTTCTTTAATATTTGATTATATGTTATTATGTTATCGGAGGGGTTCCACAGCCAGTGTAAACGAGTGGCTTCCCAAGCCACTATAAATCTCCACCCTCCATCTCTTTTAATTTTAAATCAAAGGCTCACAAATTTTCATCAACAAATAAACCTCAAAATTAACTCCTCCTTCAGATCTTTTCTCTCTCTCAACCAAGACAGCGACGATAAGCTCACAGCCCAACCGGCGAAATCGATTGCCCGTCAGTCGCCAGCCCTACCGCAATCCTTAAACACTTCGCAGGTACGATGCCTTCCATGGAGGCGACGAACGACTTGCGCACAGGGCTTCAATCGATGCGAGGTAAAATTTTTTGCACATATAACTATTTTGTTGACTCAAAATTTGGATTTCAATTTTAATATGGAATGAATTCAAAAGAGGCTAAATTAATTTCTTGCTGAAGAAAGATATGAAAAACCGTACATTGTTTGCCATATCTTTCATATCTTTCTTCAGCAAGCAATGTACTGTTTTTCATATCTCTTTGGCAAACAATGTACTGTTTTAATTTAACCTCTTTTGAATTCATTCCATTTAAAATTGAAATCCAAATTTTGAGTCAACAAAATAGTTATATGTGCAAAAACCTTTACCTCGCATCGATTGAAGCTCTGTGCGCAGGTCGTTCGTCGCCTCCATGGAAGGCATCGTACCTGCGAAGTGTTAAAGGGTTGCGGTAGGGCTGGCGACTGACGGGCAATCGATTTCGCCGGTTGGGCTGTGAGCTTATCATCGCTGTCTTGGTTGAGAGAGAGAAAAGAGACGGATATGGTGAGAGATAGACTGATCTGATGGAGGAGTTAATTTTGAAGTTTATTTGTTGATAAAAATTTGTGAGCCTTTGATTTAAAATTAAAAGAGATGGAGGGTGGAGATTTATAGTGGCTTGGGAAGCTACAGTGACTGTGGAACCCCTCCGCATTATTATGTATAGTATTTGATTTTAATTTAATTTTATTGTTTTCTTACGCAAGGTTAGTTATGTCAAAAGGGGCATGAAATCACCATTCACCGTAGGCCATACCCACTCTACCAGCGACAGACTGACTACTCTCTTTTCTCGGAGCTTTGAAGGGTTCAATCGAATGCATTTCATCACCTCCCCCGACCACGTTTGCTTCAGCTCTTTCTGTTCTTCGCTCTCCAGCTGAACTTATGAAGGGGCTTTCCAAGAATTTCACTGTAAGGAATTCGATCAGATTGAATTCTATGTCGTTTGTACTGAAATTTCAAGTAACTGCTCTTTACCCTCCCCTAATCGTCCCCATGAGTCACTTTGGAATGTCCGGACAGTCAAATCTTGTGTAAAATTTTGAAAATTCGTTGTTTCTAGTTCCCATCCCCAAAATTTAGACCATTTTGTGTTGGCATGATTCATTTTTGAAGCTTGGTGGGCTGAGAGGGTTTGCGACAGCAGCAGGCAAAGCCGGGAACCTCAAGATTGAAGGGATTAAAGATATCGTAGCCGTTGCTTCGGGCAAAGGCGGCGTTGGCAAGTCTACAACTGCCGGTACCTGTGAATGCCTATGCATCTGCTTTGTTATTGCTTCCGGGTTTGGAATCAAGATCAATTTAGTAGCTAAATGGCAATTGTGTGGGTTGTATTACTGAGAGTATTGTGCATTTTTCTTAGTAGTTGTTTTGTAAATCATATTGGTTTTGCAGTTAATTTGGCGGTTTTGCTTGCTAACAAGTGTGGGCTTAAAGTTGGGTTGCTAGATGCTGATATATATGGGCCTTCAATTCCTTTGATGATGCGTCTCCATGGAAAGCCTGAAGTCAATAAAGGTTAGGCCATCTTCACATGCATTGGTTACTTATAATCATGTAATTATAGGAGATTTTCCTTGTTTGCGTATTTTACTTTCTCTTTGGTAGCAACCTATATACATCTATATGTAGGGGTTACCGGATTCCACTTGGTTGTTGCTGTTGTATTGTACTCCCTCCATCTAGGTTTATTTGTCCACATTCCTTTTTGGCACATTGACCAAGGAAAGGGGAAAAAGAGAAGACAATGACCATTATGCCCTTGCATCTACTTTTTGGGTGGGCGGAGTTGGAGTACTAGATGAGTCAAATAAGTCACTGTCACTTTATTTATTTTCCTTAAACGGAAAGTGGACAATAAAACCGGGATGGTACAAAAAGGAATACTGGACAAATATGTTGGGACGGAGATAGTTTCTTAGATTCTTATGTTTTTCGTCGACAGACAGGAAAATGATTCCAATTGAAAGTTACAATGTGAGGTGCATATCAATGGGATCTCTTGTGGAAGAGGATGCAGCAATCGTGTGGAGAGGACCTATGGTATGCTTCTTCTGCCCCATACTTTAAGTACTAACTACTTTTGGTTCATGGTGATAGACCCAAAAAAAAAGAGGAGTGTGAAGTTTGAATTCAAAATCTATATAGACAATTTCCCTTGCAGGTCATGAAAGCTCTTGAGCAGATGACTAGAGGAGTTGATTGGGGGATGCTAGATATTCTTGTGGTGGATATGCCCCCTGGGACGGGTGATGCTCAGATAACTATCTCCCAGAGGCTTCAGCTATCAGGTACCAAAAGAATGTCGATAACATATGCTGATTTACCTTTAGGGCTTGTTTGGTTGGGGTACTTGTGAGGGGAAGTTTGATTTTTGACTTGCTTATATATCTTTGTTTGGGAGTGGTGAAAATGCTGATGGACCTTAAAGGGGTTCCAGGTTATAGGATTATGGATGGGACACAATACACATTAAACATAACCCCACTTTTTTACACCTTTTTACAAGGATATATGAAGGATCCTCTTTTCTTCTCTATTGTTCCTTAAGGGTACGTTTGGATCTCAAAAATTTCTAGGGAAAGGAAAACAAGTTCTAAGCAAAGTAATTTTCTTTTGGCTTTACCTTGTAAAATGCAAAGGAAAATAGATGATTTGCTTTAAATTTATTATACATACATTTTTCCATCATCTCCGATGGAGCCAAAATTTCACCTGTTTTTGGCTTTGGGGTGTGATGGAATAAATCAAAATGGATATCTAAACTATTTCCGCTTCTTTAATTAATGAAGTAGCAGTTAGTCAAGCAATGCAACTTTCGACGTTGAGCCGGGGGTCTCTTTGGAAACAACCTCTCTACTTTCGAGTAGGGGCAAGGTCTGCGTACACACACCCTCCTCGGACCCTGCTCTTGTGGGATTTAACTGGGTTGTTGTTGTTATTATTATACATACATTAAGATTTCTTAATATTGATGCAATAGAAACAGGTAAATATATAGAGCTGTTGCGTTTCTACTATTTTCTTCTAGATTTGCTTTCCTTCCAATTTTACTCCGTATTTTCTATCCATGGTGTTTTCTAGGTTCTGTTTTGATATTCCTTTCCTTCCTAATTCCTCAAACCAAACACAGCAAAAAGGAAACACCATCCTATGTTGTCAGTATAATTGCATCACTTCACTTGAAGAATTGAAGTTTTTGAATTTTCAGCGGTAATAGTGTAATACTTTCTGGAATCAAACTTCATTTTTGCATTTGTGTCGGTTAAAATTAGTAAGTGCCATATTGTATTATGCCTTTCACAAATGTCTTGAGTTTCTTTAACACTCCGTAGTATTTTATTCTAGTGGCTAATGTTTTCCGATATCACTTTTCCCAATAGGAGGATTGATTGTCTCAACTCCTCAGGATGTTGCATTAATGGATGCTCGTAGAGGTGTGAAAATGTTTTCCAAAGTTAATGTTCCGGTATGTTTATTTACTTGTTTGGTTAAGCTTTCTAATACTCTTGTATTTCTGCTACCAAATGCACATTGGTTTCAAAAGAGCAAGTTCAACAATTTTCTAACCTCATATTTATTCAATACCCAAACAGATCCTTGGAATCTTGGAAAACATGAGTTTTTTTAAATGCCCACATTGCAGTGAGCCCTCATATATCTT